ACTACTGGGCCTACTACTCATTAAACACCTCACCTTGCAGTACCGGCAGTTCCCCATAGAGTACAAGACGCTATAGGCTGCTTAGTGTTCCTCCTAGCGGCTTGAAGGCGAACGAGCACTGGGCGAGAACTGAAGACTCTAGCCAACATATTTGACGAGAAACAGAATTGGTATTGGTTGAGTCTACGTTGGTTGAGTCTACAGGGTGAATCTAATCCTGTAGGGTGTTTTCAGTGGATACTCCTGTGTTAGTGTGATCTGTAACGTCTTCTGCAGGATCGATGAGTATTTCTTGGGGACGTGTTTGAAGAGGTTATTCTGTTTCTCAATCTCAGAATAAGGTGGTGGTGGTGGTATTTCCGTCTGTATGTCAGTATAAGACGGAGGTAAATCGTTATCCCCTAGTCCTGTCACATCCTGAAGGGTTGTATCAGCGTCAGGACATTCATCACTACATCTATGCTTCTAACTGGCTGTAGAATCTTCTACGACGATAACAACACCTACAGCAAATACTAATGAAGAATATTATAGCTCCGACTGGTATAAAGATAATATGCCCGCCGCTATAACTACTGTAATGGTAATTTTCACTTGGTGGGGTAGGCCTATAAGGTTTCCCAGAATAGTCGACATTATCAAGTACATGTAAAAGTTTCACTGAGCTGGTCAAAACAGAATGTCCCAAGTTTCGCTATCCCAGTAAATGTGATTCTAGACTAGGTGCTTCATTTGTTGAGTTTGAGGTCCATTTTTCTTCGATATAGAGAGTGTTATTGCCTCTGATAATGACAATTAGGTGAGTATCATTCGCTGTATAGGTCATCTCATACCATTCATAATCATTGCCCATCATAAAGGTTGTGGCCAGATCTTGCGGGACGTTAATGCTGTACCTGCCAATGAGTCCGTGGATAAGGACCTCATGTATATTTCACTATCTTCATCAGCTTTAAATAACGCTCTTTCATCCCGCTCAAGCGTGATGGAGTTAGTCTCAAGCGTACATAAAGTAACAACAAGGGTAGAGCCAAGCTGAGCCATAAAGCTTAGACTCACTAACACGTACACCACCACACGTACACCAATCACATCCATCTTGGCTCTTGTGCTCTATACAACTCTATAACACCTCCAAGTCTTGTTAAATCAGTACCTGACTGGTGGTGTTAAAATGACTCAGAAGTAATAAAGTAACTTCACCAAACACTGAGACAATGTGTAACACGTCCACCTCCTATGGGCTCCTATGCCACACTGAACATAGGTGTTCAGCTCACGCGACAATTTTAACCCGTTCACCTGATGTTAAATTGTGATATTACCTTCCTAACATTAATTCCTCCTCTATAATCCTCCCTGGTGGTTATCCTCACTATAATGATCTATAATTCGATGATCTAGGTCTGTATAATTGTTTGGTAGGTTGGGGTAGGGTTGGTTAGGTTAAGTTTATAAAGGAATCCTGGTGGTTCTCTGACGTCATTGGTGGTGTTGCCTTTCTCTGTAGGCGATGTGCACTCCAGCGTGTGTACCTGTGTAGCTGTGCGTACCTGTGTGTACCTGTGTATACATGTGTACCTGTGTAGCTGTGCGTACCTGTATGTACCTGTGTATACATGTGTACCTGTGTGTACCTGTGTAGCTGTGTGTGCCTGTATGTACCTGTGTATACATGTGTACCTGTGTAGCTATGTGTACCTGTGTGTAGCTGTGTGTACCTTTGTGTACCTGTATGCACCTGTATGCACCTGTATGTACCTGTGTCCTTAGAACATAATAACATAAGAACATAAGGAGTCTGCAATAGGCCGGTTGGACTGTTCATGGCAGCTCCTGTCAGAGTTACTACCACTCTCTATCATCCATGAATCTATCTAGCCTCCTTTCCAAAACTCAGTCCAGCACTAAAGCTGCTTGTCCGCCACCACCTATCTAGTCTCCTTTTAAAACTTTCCAGCGTTCCAGCACTTACTACAAAGTTGCTAAGCTTGTTCCACTCGCCCACCACCCTATCTAGTCTCCTTTAAGACTTTCCAGCGTTCCAGCACTTACTAAAGTTGCTAAGCTTGTTCCACTCGCCCACCACCTATCTAGTCTCCTTTTAAGACTTTCCAGCGTTCCAGCACTTACTACAAAGTTGCTAAGCTTCACCACCCTATCTAGCTCCTTTTAAAAACTTTTTCCAGCGTTCCAGCACTTACTACAAAGTTGCTAAGCTTGTTCCACTCGTCCACCACCCTATTTGTGAACCAGTTCCTTCCTATCTCCCTCCTAAGCCTAAACTTATCCAACTTAAATCCGTTGCTGGTCCTATCCTGCTCGGATATTATAAGAACTTTATCTATATCCCCTTTATTGATTCCTTTCACCCACTTGAATACTTCTATCATATCTCCCCGCACTCTTCGTCTTTCTAAGGAATGCAAGTTTAGTTTCTTTAACCTATCCTGATATGGAAGGTTTCTAAGTCCCGGAATCATTTTCGTCATTCTTCGCTGCACCGACTCTGAATTGATATCCCATTCTATAATAGGGCACCAGAACTGAACCGCATAATCGAGGTGCGGCCTGACTAGCGCAAGATATAGTTGCAATAAGACCTCTGCACTCTTATTACTTACACTTCTAGATATAAAACCCAATACTCTGTTTGCCTTATTTCGAACATTAACGCACTGTTTTCTAGGCCGTAGGTCCGGGCTTACAAGTACCCCTAGGTCTCTTTCACAAGTCGACTTCTCTAGGTTGATGTTGTTAAGGCTGTATACATTGACAGTATTTGTTCTTCCAATATTAAGTACGCTGCACTTGCTGGTGTTGAATTTCATTTGCCATTTTTCAGACCACCCCTGCAGTTTATTTAAATCCTCCTGTAATGCATTTGCATCCTGCCCTGAATTAATCTGCCGCCCTATTTTGGTGTCATCCGCAAACTTGCTTATGTCACTGCTGATCCCAATATCTAGATCGTTTATGTAGATTATGAACAAGAGTGGGCCTAGTACTGACCCCTGGGGAACTCCACTGGTTACACGGCCCCACTCAGATTTAACACCATCTACACTGACCCTCTGCGTTCTATCGGTGAGCCATGATTTTATCCAATTTAAAACTTTCCCCTCGATACCATGAGCCTTAATTTTTCTCAGAAGCCTCTGATGCGGTACTCTGTCAAACGCTTTGCTAAAGTCTAAGTAAATAACATGGTAATTATCGTCATTATCTACTACCTATGTGAAACTGTGTATGTGTACCTGTTTGAACATGTGTATACCTGTGTGTGTACATGTGTACCTGTGTATACCTGTGCAGCTGTGTGTATCATTGTGTACGTATATTTACCTGTGTATACCTGTGTGTACACTGTTTACCTATGTACATCGTTTGTATACGTACACTGTCTTATATAACCTAACCTAACCAAACCTACAATATTTTGATAATTATCGTATTTTGTTATTTTAATTATTATGTATTTGTTATATTCTTATTTTTTATCAATATTCACATTTATCTTTCTTTTTCTCTATTTTATTATTTATTATTATTATTATTTGGGGGTTGGTTAGGTTAGGTTAGGTCAGGTCAGGTTAGGTTAGGTTAGGTTAGGTCAGGTCAGGTTAGGTTAGGTTATAAATAAAAGCTTATTATTGGGTACAGATATAAACCCTTTTATTATCAGAGTAACATAAGCAATTACCGACCAAACTTTTATTTTGGGTCGATTTTAACAAGGACAGTATTTAATCATCATAATTACTCATAATACTCACAAAGTACTCAACATGTACTCATAATAACACAGTACTCACAACATACTCACATTGTACTCATAACAGTACTCACAACATACTCACCAAAATACTCACATTGTACTCAAAATGTACTCATAATAACACAGTACTCATAATAATTCTCTCAATGCAGTTCATTTCTGGTGCCCTTATTATAGAATGGACTTAGAAACCTTCCATATCAGGATAGGTTAAAGAAACTAAACTTTCATTCCCTAGAAAGACGAAGAGTGCGGGGAGATATGATAGAAGTATTTAAGTGGGTGAAAGGAATCAATAAAGGGGATATAGATAAAGTTCTTATAATATCCGAGCAGGATAGGACTCGGAGCAACGGATTTAAGTTGGATAAGTTTAGGTTTAGGAGGGAGATAGGAAGGAACTGGTTCACAAATAGGGTGGTGGACGAGTGGAACAAGCTTAGCAACTTTGTAGTAAGTGCTGGAACGCTGGAAAGTTTTAAAAGGAGGCTAGATAGGGTGGTGGACGAGTGGAACAAGCTTAGCAACTTTGTAGTAAGTGCTGGAACGCTGGAAAGCTTTAAAAGGAGGCTAGATAGGGTGGTGGACGAGTGGAACAAGCTTACCAACTTTGTAGTAAGTGCTGGAACGCTGGAAAGTTTTAAAAGGAGGCTAGATAGGGTGGTGGACGATTGGAACAAGCTTAGCAACTTTGTAGTAAGTGCTGGAACGCTGGAAAGTTTTAAAAGGAGGCTAGATAGGGTGGTGGACGAGTGGAACAAGCTTAGCAACTTTGTAGTAAGTGCTGGAACGCTGGAAAGTTTTAAAGGGAGGCTAGATAGGGTGGTGGACGAGTGGAACAAGCTTAGCAACTTTGTAGTAAGTGCTGGAATGCTGGAAAGTTTTAAAGGGAAGCTGGATAGATTCATGGATGATAGAGAGTGGTAGTAACTCTCGACAGGAGCTGCCATGAACAGTCCAACCGCCCTATTGCAGACTCCTTATTTTTTTATGTTCTTTAGTACTCACAAAAATACTCACTATGCACTCATATTAAGACAGTACTCACAAAATACTCACAAAAATACTCACTCTGTACTCATAATAATACAGTACTCACAAAATACTCACAACATACTCACTATGTACTCATAATAATACAGTACTCACAAAATACTCAAATATACTCACAAATACTCACTTTGTACTCATAGTAATACAGTACTCACAAAAATACTCACTGTACTCATAATACAGTACTCACAAAATACTCACAAAAATACTATGTACTCATAATACAGTATTCACAAAATACTCAAAGTGTACTCATAATACTCATACTGAAAGCGGCCCCATTTTATTGAACTAAGAAAGCATAATGTTTAGGCCTATCGGAAAATAATTTGCTTTTATGTTTGTGTATAGGCCTATATAATTTAAAGTCCTGTTCTATATATGTGGGCCTATTTCAACTATATAGTCTCGCGGTATAACATAGGCCTGTTTAATTTATATAATCCCGTGGTATATGTGTAGGCCTATTTAATTTATATAGTCCCGTAGCATATACATAGGCCTATTTAATTATATAGGCCCTATAACACATAATAGGTGTATCAATAGCGTATAATTACTTAGAAATTATAGTAGGCAATGTGATACTTACAAAATACTTCCCCCTTAAGTACTAACCCCATTTACAGTGACTTTAGAGTGTAGTAAAGTGAATATAAGTAGATATAAGGGTTTAAGTTGTTATTAGTTACTTTTATAATGACAAAATTGATATTGTAAATTATTGATCTAATTTTGTGAATTTTTTAGGCTCGTGTTCCTTTATTGTTGATGTTTGGGTAAAATTGTTAGTTTAGGTTCCAATAATGTTGAGAATTTTGTTGTTGTTTGGTTAAAATTATTCGTTTTGGTTCCAATAATGTTAAATATGTCTATGGTTGTGTTAAAAATTATTACATAATTTGATAAATATAATTATCTATTTATTTGTTTGTTTTTGTTCACATAAGCGTATTTGTTATTATCATTTTTAGAAGATTTAAAATATCTCTTGTTTTATACACTCGAGCAATGCTGCCACATCTACTCCCACACGACACCTTTATCACTGCTATCTAGTCATTCTTCTCCACATGTTTATCAGGTAATTTCTTCATTATTCTTCTATATATATTTATCAGGTGTTTCTCTAAGTCATTCTTCTACAGATGTTTAAATCATTCTTCGTGTACATGTGTTTAACAGATGTTTTATTTTTTGAGGTTATTTCTTGATCTGGTAAAGGTGTTTCTCCGTCAAGCAGATGTTGATTCTGTCCACGAACATCTGTAATACATGGAGTCTGTTAATACATGAACATCTGTATATATATAAGCGCTGAACACCTGTCAACACCTGTACACAAACACGCTAACCCCGTTAATAAAGACCAGAACACCTGTCTACACCTGTACACACTCACTAACCCCGTTAATAAAGACCAGAACACCTGTCTACACCTTTTAAACAAATGCGTGATTGACCTCATGAGTAAACAGAATGAATGTCTCTGGTCTTGTTCCTTCCTCCCTCCCCCCGTCCCAACAGTATCCGGGTCATATAACTCACTCCCTCTCCCTCTCTCTCTCCCGACATTATCACTAGGAAAAATTTTATGGGTCTGGAAAGGCAACTGAGGGGGTGGGGTGGGGAGGTGAGGGGTGGGAGGTGTGGGAGGGAGGGGTGGGGTGTGTGGAGGTGAGGGGGTGTGGAGGTGAGGGGGTGTGGAGGTGAGGGGGTGTGGAGGTGAGGGGGTGTGGAAGGGGTTATATTATTATGACAGGAAGTTCTACCTAACCTAACACTAACCAAACATAAGAACATATGGAGTCTGCAATAGGCTGGTTGGTCTGTTCATGGCAGCTCCTGTCGAGAGTTACTACCACTCTCTATCATCCATGAATCTATCTAGCCTCCTTTTAAAACTTTCCAGCGTTCCAGCACTTACTACAAAGTTGCTAAGCTTGTTCCACTCGTCCACCACCCTATCTAGCCTCCTTTTAAAACTTTCCAGCGTTCCAGCACTTACTACAAAGTTACAAGCTTGTTCCACTCTGTCCACCAATCTCTATCTAGCCTCCTCTTTAAAACCTTCCAGCGTTCCAGCAATTTACCAAAGGCGTTTGTTCCAATCGTCCACCACCCTATCTAGCCTCCCTTTAAAACTTTCCAGCGTTCCAGCACCACAAAGTTGCTAAGTTTAACCAATCGTCCACCACCCTTGGCCTAGCCTCCTTTTAAAACTTTCCAGCGTTCCAGCACTTACTACAAAGTTGCTAAGCTTGTTCCACTCGTCCACCACCCTATTTGTGAACCAGTTCCTTCCTATCTCCCTCCTAAACCTAAGCTTATCCAACTTAAATCCATTGCTCCGAGTCCTATCCTGCTGGGATATTATAAGAACTTTATCTATATCCCCCTTTATTGATCCCTTTCACCCACTTAAATACTTCTATCATATCTCCCCGCACTCTTCGTCTTTCTAGGGAATGAAATATTAGTTTCTTTAACCTATCTTGATATGGAAGGTTTCTAAGTCCCAGAATCATTTTCGTCATTTTTCGCTGCACCGACTCTAGTGAATTGATATCCATTCTATAATAGGGCACCAGAACTGAACCGCATAATCGAGGTGCGGCCTGACTAACACAAGATATAGTTGCAATAAGACCTCTGCACTCTTATTACTTACACTTCTAGATATAAAACCTAATACTCTGTTTGCTTTAATTTGAACATTAGCACTGTTTTTCTAGGCCGTAGGTCCGGCCTTAAATACCCTAGGTCTCTTTCACAAGTCGACTTCTCTAGGTTGATGTTGTTAAGGCTGTATACATTGACAGTATTTGTTCTTCCAATATTAAGTACGCTGCACTTGCTGGTGTTGAATTTCATTTGCCATTTTTCAGACCAACCCTGCAGTTTATTTAGATCCTCCTGTAATGCATTTGCATCCTGCCTGAATTAATCTGCCCTATTTTGGTGTCATCCGCAAACTTGCTTATGTCACTGCTGATCCCAATATCTGAATCGTTTATGTAGATTATGAACAAAGTGGGCCTAGTACTGACCCTGGGGAACTCCACTGGTTACACGGCCTCCAGATTAACACCATCAACCTGACCCTCTGCGTTCTATCGGTGAGCCATGATTTTATCAATTTAAACTTTCCTCGATACCATGAGCCTTAATTTTTCTCAGAAGCCTCTGATGCGGTACTCTGTCAAATGCTTTGTTAAAGTCTAAGTAAATAACATGGTAATTTTCGTCATTATCTACTAACTCGAGACTTTCCTAAACGGCAGCAGATTTGTTAGACAAGATTTTCCTTTGTAAACCAAACCCTAACCAGATGTAGTGGTGAATCAACAGGTGAATCTACTTAATTAAAACCCACTAATGACTTACCTGTGAATTAAGGTCAAAATGGCGTTAGTTCTTCTGTTTATTTGTCATCATCAAGGGGTTTATATGGGTTACTGGACCGTGAAGGCAACAGCTGAGGAAGACTGAAGCCCTTTTTCTGTGAAGGGACTGAACCAGGGTCTGAAGGAGGGGCTGAAGGAGGGGCTGTTTGGTTGAGAGTGTCGCCACGTGGGCAGTCTCCAGAATATGCGGTGGTGCTGTCTCCTAATCCTTCCGGGGCTTGTGGGTACCCTGCAGGGCCTGTGGATATCCTGCAGGAGCCTGTGGATATCCTGCAGGGCCTGTGGATATCCTGCTGGGGCTTGTGGATATCCTGCTGGGGTTTGTGGATATCCTGGAGGGGCTCTGTGGGTATCCTGCTGGGGCTTGTGGATATCCTGCTGGGGCTTGTGGATATCCTGCTGGGGCTTGTGGATATCCTGGTGGGGCTTGTGGATACGTTGTACCCCTGTGTGTACTGTCGTGACTGTGGTGTTATGGACTGCTGGAGTGATCGCGACAGGTAAAGTGTGAACTACCACACTACGACGCCTTCTGCAGTAAGAAACACAGGCGGCAGGTGAGACAGATGAGGAATATTATAATACCGACCGGGATAAACACGCACGTGATGTTCGTATGACATGATGGAGAAGGATGGAGAAGGTCGGGTGTTTCCTATACTTCTTTGGTGTAAAAGCCCGTCTCCTCTCTCTCGCCCCTCTCTCTCGTTCTCTCTCTGTCTTTTGAAACCTGCAGGAATATATTTTTTTTAGAAACCAGTTTAAATCTATAACCTTATTAAACATGACCTGACCTAACGTAATCGTTTTAAAGACTCCCAAGATGACCTGGGTAAGTCCTGAATGACAGGCGTTTGATTCATTTAGAGACACAGCTCAATAATACACAAATATATCATTTTATATGTTATTTAATTATTTTAATACGTTGCAAAGTGAATTTTCATTAAATTAGACCAAAAATTTAAGTTACTTTCATAGTTGGTGTCAAATGCTGTACGATTGATGTCTGTTATTAATTGGCGTCGCCGCACTTGAAGCTCAGTGTCGTGTTAACATTACGTGTGGACGGTGTGTTAACTCGTGCTTTCTTTAATTACCCTTTGACCATGGAAATAGGTGAAGTATACAAACATCAACTTTTCCCAACGACATTAAATGAAAGACTGATAATCAAAGCAAGAAGACCTACACCATTCAAGCAGGAACAAAGAAATTATACAAGCCAGTTTAACATAATTGAATGGCTCTGGGCAACTACCATGACCTGGTAATTAGTGGACATCAACTACAACTCATACCTGAGGTAGGTCAAATTTGTGTATCCCGAGCCGTCACTGCTGAATGGCCTAGTACGGAAGCTTAAGTACAAGTAAATAGTGGTGCAACACAGGCTATGAAGGTCACCGCGCGTCTGAGTCCTGCTGAACTGAGCCCCACCCAACTCCAACACAACCTTCACTTCATTATAAGGTCAATAATCCTTTAAATAACCTCGTAACTGTAAAATAGTGAATAATATCGTTAAATAACTTTTCTACATATAAAGAGGTAAATGTACCGTATTTAAGCCCGTGTAGAGCACCTCACCACTACTAACGCTAAGGAACTGAGAGGGTCCTAGACTCCCCTCCTCTACGCCCCCGTCATCAAACACTTCCATTTACTATATATTAATGATTTTCTTCTTTTAATTCATATCCTCCATGTTAAGAACTATGAATACATTATTATAGTATGTATAATTAGATCATTTGTGGTTAGTATGAGGTAGAGTATCAGGTATAGGGAGGATAAGGTTAAAATATGAGGATTTCTGGCAATAATCTTGAAACCCATACGTGTTTACCCACATTTCTTGTTTTTTTGACTTTATTTTAGTGTACATTGTTATTTAGCCTCCTGTTAACTGTTTAGGAGATCTGTTGTTTGTCTGTTGCATACTGTTCGTGTACTGCCATACTGTTAGCGGCTCTCTGTTACATACTGTTAGCGTGTACTGGCTCTCTGTTGCATACTGTTTGTCCCACTAGCGTGCTCTCTCTGTTGCATACTGTTAGCGTGTACTGGCTCTCTTTGCATACTATTAGCGTGTACTGGCTCTCTGTTGCATACTGTTAGCGTGTCTGGCTCTCTGTTGCATACTGTTAGCATGGCTCTCTGTTGCTACTGTTAGCGTACTGGCTCTCTGTTGCATACTGTTAGCTTGCTCTCTGTGCATACTGTTAGCGTGTACTGGCTCTCTGTTGCATATGTTGGCGTGTACTGCTCTCTGCATACTGTTAGCGTGTACTGGCTCTCTGTTGCATCACTGTTAGCGTGTACTGGCTCTGTTGCATACTGTTAGCGTGTACTGGCTCTCTGTTGCATACTGTTAGCGTACTGGCTCTCTGTTGCATACTGTTCGTGTACTGGCTCTCTGTTGCACACTGTTAGCGTGTACTAGCTCTCTTGCATCTGTTAGCGTGTACTGGCTCTCTGACATACTGTTGTGTCGGCTCTTGCATACGTGTCTGGCTCTCTGTTACATACTGTTGCGTGTACTGCTCTCTTACACTGTTGTTGTGTGTTGACTTCTTCTTTTGTACTGGCTCTCTGTACATACTGTTAGCGTGTGCTGGCTCTCTGTTACATACTGTTAGCGTGTACTGGCTCTCTATTATACTTTATGCATTTAGCTGCTCTTTGCATACGTGGCGTGTACTGGCTCTCTGTTGCATACTGTTAGCGTGTACTGGCTCTCTGTTGCATACTGTTAGCGTGTACTGGCTCTCTGTTGCATACTGTTAGCGTGTACTGGCTCTCTTAGCCTGTTAGCGTGTACTGGCTCTCTATTGCATACTGTTAGCGTGTACTGGCTCTCTGTTGCATACTGTTAGCGTGTACTGGCTCTCTGTTGCATACGTTGGCGTGTACTGGCTCTCTGTTACTACTGTTAGCGTGTACTGGCTCTCTGTTGCATACTGTTAGCGTGCTGCTCTCTGCATACTGTTAGCGTGTACTGGCTCTCTGTTGCATACTTGTTGCGTGTCTCTCTGTGCATACTGTTAGCGTGTACTGGCTCTCTGTTACATACTGTTAGCGTGTTTCATACGTTATGTACTGCTCTCGCTACTGTTGCTACTGGCCTCTGTTACATACTGTTAGCGTGCTGGCTCTCTGTCTGTTAGCGTACTGGCTCTCTGTTACATACTGTTAGCGTGTACTGGCTCTCTGTTACATACTGTTAGCTGTACGGCTCTCGTTCATAATTTAGCGTTACTGGCTCTCTGTTGCATACTGTTAGCGTGTACTGGCTCTCTGTTGCATACTGTTAGCGTGTACTGGCTCTCTGTTACATACTGTTAGCGTGTGCCTGTATACTGTGCGTGTACTGGCTCTCTGTTACTACTGTTAGTGTACTGGCTCTCTGTTATACTGTTGCGTGTACTGGCTCTCTTTGCATACTGTTAGCGTGTACTGGCTCTCTGTTGCATACTGTTAGCGTGTACTGGCTCTCTGTTACATACATTAGCGTGTACTGGCTCTCTGTTGCATACTGTTAGCGTGTACTGGCTCTCTGTTACATACTGTTAGCGTGTACTGGCTCTCTGTTACATACTGTTAGCGTGCTGGCTCTCTGTTGCACTGTTGTGTGTACTGGCTCTCTGTTACATACTGTTGTGTACTGGCTCTCTGTTACATACTGTTAGCGTGTACTGGCTCTCTGTTACATACTGTTAGCGTGTGGCTCTCTGTTATACTGTTGAGTGTGCTGGCTCTCTCTATTACATACTGTTCGCTTGTACTGGCTCTCTGTTCATACTGTTAGCGTGTACTGGCTCTCTGTTATACTGTTACGTGTACTGGCTCTCTGTTACATACGTTACCGTGTACTGGCTCTGTACATACTGTTACGTGTACTGGCTCTGTTTCATACTGTTAGCGTGTACTGGCTCTGATACATACTACTAGCGTGTACTGGCTCTCTGTTACATACTGTTAGCGTGTACTGGCTCTCTATTTCATACTGTTATTATTACTGGCTCTCTGTTACATACTGTTAGCGTGTACTGTCTCTGTTACATACTGTTAGCGTGTACTGGCTCTCTGTTACATACTGTTAGCGTGTACAGCTCTCTGTTATACTGTTGCTGTGTACTGGCTCTCTGTTACCTGTTAGCGTGTACTGGCTCTCTGTTACATACTGTTAGCGTGTACTGGCTCTCTGTTACATACTGTTGTACTGGCTCTCTGTTACATACTGTTAGCGTGTACTGGCTCTCTGTTACATACTGTTAGCGTGTACTGGCTCTCTGTTACATACTGTTAGCTGTACTGGCTCTCTGTTACATACTGTTAGCGTGTACTGGCTCTCTGTTACATACTGTTAGCGTGTACTGGCTCTCTGTTACATACTGTAGCGTGTACTGGCTCTCTGTTACCTGTTATTGTGTACTGGCTCTCTGTTACATACTGTTGTGTGTACTGGCTCTCTGTTGCATACTGTTAGCGTGTACGGTCTCTGTTCACTGTTAGCGTGTACTGGCTCTCTGTTACATACTGTTATTGTGTACTGGCTCTCTGTTACATACTGTTAGCGTGTGCTGGCTCTCTGTTACATACTGTTAGCGTGTACTGGCTCTCTGTTACATACTGTTGTGTGTACTGGCTCTCTGTTACATACTGTTAGCGTGTGACTGGCTCTCTGTTACATACTGTTAGCGTGTACTGGCTCTCTGTTACATACTGTTAGCGTGTACTGGCTCTCTGTTACATACTGTTAGCGTGTACTGGCTCTCTGTTATACTGTTAGCGTGTACTGGCTCTCTGTTACATACTGTTAGCGTGTACTGGCTCTCTGTTACATACTGTTAGCGTGTACTGGCTCTCTGTTACATACTGTTAGCGTGTACTGGCTCTCTGTTACATACTGTTAGCTGTTTATACTGATGTGTACTGGCTCTCTGTTACATACTGTTAGCGCTGGCTCTCTGTTACATACTGTTAGCGTGTACTGGCTCTCTGTTACATACTGTTAGCTGTACTGGCTCTCTGTTACATACTGTTACCGTGTACTGGCTCTCTGTTACATACTGTTAGTGTACTGGCTCTCTGTTACACTTTTAGCGTGTACTGCTCTCTACACTGTTAGCGTGTACTGGCTCTCTGTTCATACTGTTAGCGTG